ATACCCCTGCACAGGCTGCAACACCCCTGCACTTCACCCCTGCTGAAACACTTCTGCCAAAGGCTAAAATACCCCTGAAGAGCTTGAAACACCCCATAACAGGATGCAACACCCCTGCCATGGGCTACAACACCTCTACACGGGCTGCAACACCAACCACATGGGCTGCAACACCACTTGCATGGCTGTAACACCCTGCACGAGCCACAACACCCCTGCACGGACCAAAGCACCCGTGCACAGGCTGTAACACCCTGCACGAGCCACAACACCCCTGCATGGGCTACAACACCCCTTCCCAGGCTGCAACCCCCCTGCATGAGCTAAAACGATCTGCATGATCTGCAACACCCCCACGAAGCTGCAACATTCCTCTGAGGGCTGCAACACCCCGGTGTGGGCTGAAACCACATCCTCAAGTGGGTTTTTCTCTCACTGTGTCCTCACCACACTGCTCACGTCCCTTCAGGGCAGCTGAAGGGGAGCCAGACCCGGTGGGAAGGAGCCCCCAAAGGGTCCCCATCCCCACACACTCTGCTTGCTGGGGAGTGGGTGTTTTGGGGAGCAAGGTCCCCAAGGTCATATTGCTGTGGTCAGCACAGCCTCTTCCGGCCACATGTGGCGAGAAGGTGTCACAGAGGAGGAGGAGGAGGAGGAGGAAATCAGGCCTCTCTTGCCATGGCTCTATGGAGAGTCCATCCCCAGCCCTGTTACTGCCCTGCTGCTGGGCAAACACCCACACCAGCCTGCCCAGTGTGCAGCGGGCACAGCACTCCAGTCTGCAGCATGCCTCTGTCTGCAGCCAAGAGAGGGAAGGAGAGGAAGGTGCCCTGCCCTCTGCACTCCAGTGAGCAGGAGGAGACAAAGGTTTGGGGTGGGTGAGATGTTTCAGGCAGATCTTCCCAATCATGGTTATTGATTCCCTTTCCTCTCTCTCAGCAGGGCTGGAAAGAGCCCAGCTCTCCCCTTCCATCTCTGCTTTGCACACTGGTGGTGTGGCAAGGCTGCAGCCGTTGCTGACAGGGCAGCGTTGCCAAATCTGAGGAAACTCGGCCCGTTGGGGGTTTTATTCCTGATGATAATTAGTGGCTATCTAAACTGATGGACAACCCTGGCTCTCACAAACCCTGTCCCCCCCCTGGGTGGGAATCACCCCCCCACCACATTCAGAAACTTCCCATTTTGCTGAATTTCAGCGCTGACCAAGCAGTGGAGCTGCCACAGGTGCCAGCAGGGACAGGGATGGCAAGGGGCATCTTCCAGGCAAGCGGAACCCCCCTGTACCACAGCATCAAGGGTTCAGGTGATGTGCAGCAGCATTGCACCCAGCCTTCCCCTTCCCAAGAGCCCCTGAGCTCACTGCAGGGTGGCTGGAGCCATCCCCTCACGCTGTCCACGGGAAGGGGACCCAGCTGGTGCCGTGGCCGATGGCTGCACGGTGGTGTCTGGCTCCAGCTCTCCCAAAAAGGAGCTGCCTGGAGCCGGGGAGCAGATGGCAGCTGAGCCCTCCCCGCCCTGGCTCCCCCGGCAGCAGCCCCGGCCGAGCTGCCAGGTCCCGCCCGCGCTGAGCCCCGGCCAACCCTCACCCCTGTCCCGCCGGGCATGGCTGGGCACGGAGCAGCCGCGTCCCTGGCTGCCCATCCATCTGTTCCCCAGGCCCCTGGGACACGGGGCAGCTCAGCCCCATGCCCAGCTGCTAGACAGGGCACAATAGCCCTTGGATGCCCACTTGTCACCCCACGTGTCACCCGCAGTGCTGAGCTACCCCTGGGCTCACCTCCATCCCCTGCATCCTCTCCCCTCATGGAATAACAGCATGGAGAAGTCAGGCTCTGGGGGCTGCGGCCCCGTGGAGCAATGTGGGGGTGCTGGGAATGGCACAGCCCGTGCCGTGGGGACAGGCCATGGTGGCGTTTGCCAGGCTGAGGGGGCCACGCGGCCCTGGGCAGGAGCGCTGCCAGAGGAACTCACACAGCAGCTCGGCAGAGGGAAGAGGAAGCAGCAGGAGCACGGTGTGGGGTGGGGGGAGGAAGAGGATGGTGCTGTGGCCAACAATGGGCCACAGGACTGGCAGGACCGGCAGGATGGTGACAGCTGGGAGGGTCAGGCTGGGATGGCAGCGGGCTCAGCCCCCTGGGTGTCCTGGATCCCTCCGTGCCTTGTCCCACACTGTCATCCTGCACTGCTCCCTGGTGACCCGGCTCCTGCTCCCTGGGAAGAGGAACCGAGAGGGCTGCACAGCCCAGCTGGTGCCACCGAGGTTCCTCTGTCACCCCGTGGCTCTGGTGCTCCCCGGTCCAGCAGGAAAGCAGGCATGAGGCAGAAGGGGAAAGTGGCTCATTAGGACACAGGACCTGGAGCTGTGTCACCGTCCCACGCCCAGGACCCCACAGACCTGGGGAGGGGACAGGAGGCCACATCTGCCTGCCCCGTCTGCTCCTAGTTCCAGCTCTGTGGCAGGTGGTGGCGTGCCCCTTCCCCACTGCCCCCAGCCCCAAGGCCACCCCAATGACAGCTGGAGATGGAGCCCTGCTCCAGCTCTCCCAGTTCACCCAGTGCCTGCTGAGTCCCCTGTGGCTCCCAGTGGGAGCAGTTCCTCCAGGTGCATGGGGAGATGGCACCCCACACCCTGCATGCCCACAAGCAGGGCTATTCCCTGGGATGAAAATTGAAGGACTTGCCAACCCCCAAAAGTGATCTTCTCTGCAAGCCCACCTGTCAGCCACCAGGCCCGTGACAGAGGGGTCCCCTTGTCCCCTCCCTGGCACAAGATGGTCGGCAGGGAGGGAGCCCCCCTTCCCCAGCCTTGCAGCCCCATCGCTGGCTGGGAAAGCAGGATTTCCGCTGGAAGAAGAGCAATTCCCGGATCCAAGGGGCTGCAGGGGCGGAGGGAGGGAGCCAGCCAGGGCTCCAAATACAATGTCCCGGGAGGAGCGGGGTGGGGAGGGAATTGTGCAGGGCAGGAAGCAGCGAGTTCCTGTCCCTCCTTGGGACACACCAAGGATCAGGGACGAAGCAGAGCTGCAGGGACCGGGGGGAGCATCCGCTCCAGCCAGGGCCTGAGCCCCTGCGGCTCCCCCAGCCTCAGCCTCGGGGGGCTCAGCCTGCAGCATCGCCCCGGGGCGCTGGCTGGGCTGGGACCCACGGGCACCGGCAGGGACGGAGGGCACAGGTGTGTGCGTGTCCCCAGGGTGTCCTGTCCCCTGCCCAGCCTGCGGCTCCGGCCGGTGAAGGCACCATGTGCTCCGCCGCTCCCCGACGCGGTGTCAGCACCAGGTAGTGCCGGGATGGTGACTGCAGCTGCTGGGTGCCCCCAGATCTTCACACGCAGCCCCCGCTGACCTGCTGCCCCCCAGGATGGCGAGGACGGGGGTCTCCTCCCACCCTCGGGCATTTCCCAGGGAAGCAGCGAGGGCACAGTGAGAGCAGCCCCCCAGCAGACCCCGCCAGTGTCGCGGGACTCTGTCCCCACAGCTCAGCGGCCGCCTCACCCGGGACCCAGAGCCACCCACACACGGAGGGGGCATCTCTCAGCAAGGGGATGAGACCCCCCCGCTGTCACAGGGCTGAGCCCCCCACCCTGCCCACACAGCCACACATACCTCCTGCCGTCCGCGCTCCTGCTCCGGCTGGCATGGACCCCTGGCAGCCGGGACCACCGGGGCGGCCCCGCTGCGGCCAGCGCCGGGGGTGCCGGGGCGGCAGCCGTGGGAGAGCGGGAGCGCCCGGCCCTGAGCTTCCCCTGTCTCTCCGGCGGCTCTGGCGGCCGAGCAAGAGCTTCCCCTCCCCTCGCCCCCCCTTCCTCCCCGCGCTCGCAGCAATGGTTCATTGTACCAGCCAGCCCAGCCGCTGCCGCAGCACCCTCCGGGTCACCCTCCGGGTCACCCTCCGTGTCACCCTCCGGGTCACCCTCCGTGTCACCCTCCGGGCCACCGCGGGACCTCAGCCCGCCCGCGGAGGGGGCACAGCGGGACGGGGGGCAGGGGGTCCCGGGTCCCCAGCAGCGCCAGGAGACACTGGCGTGCATTGGCAGGCTCTGCCTGCGGGGGTTTACGGGGGAGTGTGCGGATCCAGCCCGTGCCTGCCCCTTGCCCAGAGCCGGGCAGAGCCTCCCCGAGACCCCCGAGGGAGCGCCCCCGGGCAGGGGACAGCAAAGGGACAGGGAACAGCCCGCCGTGCCTGGGGAACGGCAGGCAGCTCTGGCTTGTGTTCCAGGGGTGTCCCACACGTCCCCCCAAGATGGGGTGCAGCTCCTTTGTGGCTCAAGCCAGTCCTGTGTCCATGGATTGCCCACTAGACATCAAACCCCTTATTTACCCCTTGTCCAGACAAAGTTGCTGGTGGGATGACCCCAAGGTTTGGCATCGGTCACACCAAGCCACAAACTTCAGTGAGCTCTGGGGTTGGGGTAAATCACGCAGAACCCTGTCTGAGTGCCCCTGCACTCCGCCTGAGCCCCCCACATCCCGGTGATCCCCCTGCAGCCTCCCCGAGCCTCCCCAGCCCTGTCTGAGCCCCCCGCATCCCGGTGATCCCCCGGCATCCTCTCCGAGCCCTCCTGGAGCTGGCTCTGTCCCGGCTCTGCCCCACTGTCCTCCCACACAGCTGGGCTGGATCCTTCCCATCTCTCCAGAGCCTTCCTCCCCCTCCTCCTCTTGCTCCTCGCCCTCAGCCCTCCCTCTGTGATCCCCTTTCCTCTGTGTCCGTGAGTCCGGCCTCGCTGCTCCCCCCGGCGCTCTCACGGGGCGCCAGGGCTGCCGCAGGCTGGGGGACCTGCTCCCCGCTGCTGTCACCCTTAACTTGTCACCTCCTGACTCATCCTGAGAGCGAGGCAGGCCTGGCTGAGCCCAGCTTGGGGGTGCCCGGCAGGTCCATCCGGTGCCCGCACCCCAGTGCTGCTCGGGGCGCTCCGGCTCGCCCCGCGGGGCCCCGCGTTGCTCCATCCCCGTCCGCGGGGGCCCTGCCGGGACACGCCGAGCCCGGGGTGCCCGTCCCCCGCCAGGCACCACATGATGCCGGTTCCTTCCCTCCTCGGGGAGGGCCCCGACTTCTGCATTGGCTCCGCCGGGTTTCGCCGCCGCCGGCTCCAGCTTAAAGCTGCGAAGCCGGAGCCGGGCGGGCCGGGCGGCCAGGATGGGTGTTCTCCGCTGCCTCGTGGCCTCCGCACTCTGCATCGCCGTCCGGGGTGAGTCTGGGCCTGGCCCCGGCACCGCTGGGGACGCCCCGGGCATGGCAGGGAGATGGGGGCACCCCCAGATCTCCTCCCGCTGCACTGCAGGGGAGGGCTCGGGCTGGGGAAGTGGTTTTACAGGGGGATCACAAAAAATTTGCAGTTCCTCCAAACACAGCTGAGATGGGGGCAAAAAGGGCAGGGGGGGGATGTGTCTTGAGGGTTTGGTGGGGCTGGGGCGTGAAAACAAAACTAAATTGAGGCTTTAATCCAAGGGGTTTAACCCAACCAGGCAGGACAGGCAAGTGTGAGGGGGCAGGGGTGGCAGGGTGGCCGTGTCCCCGTGGGACCCCCTTTCTGGGTGCTGATGGAGCCGAGCAGGGTTGGGAGGGGGCTGCACCCGTTGCTGCCTGTGGGTGCCCCGAGGTGGCTGTGAGGGGTACCCACGGCACAGCCTGGGCTGCAGGGGGGGGTCTGCCCGTCCCCAGCGCCCCCAGGGCTGGGGGCAGGGCTGCTCCCGGCTCTCCGGGCTGGCAGGCACGGTCTGGGTCCGGGCAGGTGCTGCCGGTCGCTCCCGGTGAGGAGGAAGATGCTGAGGGAGGGAAGGGCTCGTTCCCAGCACTTGTGTTGGCGTGGGGTTGCACAAGCTGGGAGCCCGGGGGGAGGCTGGGGAGGTCACTGGGAGATTCCAGGCAGAACCAGTAAGGTCCCTGGCACCCCTCAACCACACCCTGTGTGTTGGGGACAGCTTGGCTGGGTCCCACCTTGGAAATATTCCAGGCCAGGGCCACCAGTGCTGGGGGTGACACTGGGGCATCACCCCAACAGTCACCCAGGAGCTGGGGTTCCCTGGGGGTGCAGCAGTGCCGGGCTTGCTGCAGTGTCACCGCAGGCTGTGGCATGGTGCTGACCCTGGGAGGTGTCAGTGCCTCAGCGTCCCTCGGGTGTGCCTTGGGATGAGCTCAGGAAGTTCCTTTGGCCAGGAAGGGAAGCCCCAGGCTGCAGGGAAGGGGAGCACTGGCTTGGAAGCCTCCCATCCCCGTCTCAGCTGGGGGGCACACACAGCCCCCCTCACCCTGCCCCTCTCTGCCTTGCAGGACAGGACCATGGGCTCTCCCGCCCACCCCCTCAGTTCGGCTCCATCTACCACGTCCGAGGTAAGGGGCAGCCACTGACAGACCCCCAGCGCCCTGCGGGGGGAGCAGAGGACCCTCAGCACGGCTCTGCCCAGGCTGTCCCAGTGCCAAACTGGGGCAGGTTCCCACAGCCCCGTGCCTCTTCATCACCCGTGGGGCACTGTCCTGGTCAGCTGTGGGTCTGCAGACTCTGGGGGGCTCAGGCAGGGGTGCTGGGGCTTGGGGCTGAGCTGTTGAGCTGCGTCCTGTGCCGGGGACAATGCCCCCTCCGCAGGGGTCATTAAGCTGCCCTACGCCGAGATCGAGGAGCCCTTTGAAGCCTGGTACAACCTGACGGGGAACAAGAGCCGCATCCAGTACTACGGAGGTAAGAGGTGGGCACCCAGCTGCGCCCACCCCGCACCAGCAGGACTCCAGTGCCTCAGTTTCCCCTTCCCTGGCACAGGGCAGGTGATAACGTACCAGCTGGCAGCGGTGAAGCCCTATGGCATGAGGTACAAGATCACGCCGGAGACGACCGAGAAGGAGGTGAACGCCAGGAAGTGCTTCCAGCTGCCCGGCTCCAAGGAGGACGTGGTCACGGCTCAGAGCGTCTTCCCCAGCATGAGGGGCTTTAAGGTGGGAAACCTCGGAGCCTAGACCTGACCTGCCTCCCAAAGCACCTGCAGGCTGTGGGAGGGGGTGCTGGGAGACGCTCCTCTCTGTCCGAGGGCCGCAGGGTGCTGGGACCGGCCGGGACATGTCCCCACAGCCCAGGGTGCAGGGAGGGTCACTTCCCCACCCGGATCGGGGCCGCACTCCTGGCGCCTTTCCCAGCTCCAGCAGCCGTGTTGGGACGTGTCACGTCCCACACAAACGCTGGCGTTTCGGCATGGTTTGGGCAAGCCTCTGCACGGCAGCTCAGCTCCTGCCGGGCCCAGCCTGCCTCAGGGCTGGGCACAGCACGTGAGCAGTGGGGACAGCAGGTTGTCACTGAGCTGGACATGCCTGCATGGCGAGAGCTTGGAAACACAGGAGAAACCTGAAATCTTTCCAGGATTTTGGAGAAATGGTGCAGCCGGACTCGCTGCTGTGGGTGTGCAGATTGCTGCGCACAGCGGAGTGTCCCCAGGGCACCGCTGAGCCACACAGGGGGTCTGCCCTGTGTTGCACCCCATATCCTTGCCCCACTTTCCATCCCACACGTGGCTGTGTGCTAATGGCCATGCAGCCACTGGATCCAGCTGGAGAGCACTGGGCTGTGCGAAGGGGCTGGGAGGGCAGCAGGTGGCCTGGGGGAGGTTGGGGTCCCCTCCCTGAGGCCGTGTCCCCCCCAGTTCCTGCGGGAGGAGTACTACGAGGGCCGGTACTGCGCCGTGTGGCAGAACGTCTCCCGCTGGGAGCAGAAGAAGAACGTCTACACGCTGTGGGTGACCAACTCCAGCTGCGGGGTGGCCCCCGTGCACTACGAGATGCGGGGCTACAACAGCCTGCTGGGCTCCCACTACGACAAGTACGAAATCGCCTACACTGACTTCGACAACAGCTTCCCGCCCTCTGTCTTCGACCTCCCCGCCAACGGTGAGCCAGGGAGGGACCCCCGTCCTGCCCGCGGGGCTAGGGCTGACAGCTCCTCTCTCGGTCCCCAGCCACCAAGTGCGGGGTGCTGCCGGGGAGCGTGGCGGAGCACCGCGTGCTGGCAAACCCCATGGAGGACCTGGTGGGCCAGCAGCCGCCCTGGGCACACCGGGTGTTCCACGACTACCGCCGGCAGATGGGGCGGCGCTACGGCTCCGCGCGGGAGCTGGAGCACAGGCAGAGCACCTTCGTGCACAACATGAGGTACAGGCAGGGGGGTGCCCACCCCCTGGGGGTGCTGCTGACGCCGTAGGGGTGTGGCAGTGCCAGCTGGCGCTGTCTCCGCCACGGTGGCAGGTTTGTGCACTCGCGGAACCGCGCCGCGCTGTCCTACACGCTGTCCCTGAACCACCTGGCCGACCGCACGCCGCAGGAGCTGGCAGCCCTGCGGGGCCGCCGGCGCAGCGGGACCCCCAACCGTGGGCTGCCCTTCCCCACCGAGCTCTACGCCGGCATCATCCTGCCCGAGAGCCTGGACTGGCGCATGTACGGTACGTGCGGGGTTGGGGGACAGCAGCGTGCTTCGGGACTGAGTGCTCCTCAGCCAGGCCTGTGCTCGGTCCCACAGAGCCCCCCGCTCCCCATCACTGCACTGAGGGCCTGTGGGACTGTGCTGTCCCTGGGCTGCACATCTGTGAGGTTGGTGAGGCACTGGAACGGGCTGTACGGAGAACCTGGGGCTGTCCAAGGCCAGGCTGGATGGGGCTTGGAGCAACCTGGGGCAGTGGAAGGTGTCCCTGCCCATGGCAGGGGTGGAACGAGATGCTTTTTGAGGTCCCTTCCAACCCAAACCATTCTGTCTTTCTGTGACTAAAGGCAGCTGGGTCAGCACTTGGCCCTGAATACACTCTGGTGCCCCAGGGACAGATGTGACACCTGAAGCAACATCTGGCTTCACCCATGTCCCCATCAGCTGGGAGTGACACCCCCAGAGCTTGCCCCTAGCCAAGGGTGGGGTCCCAGCTTCACAAGTGCATATCCCCCCTTCTCAGTTAGCACCGAGATCCGGCTGTGCTGCCTCTGGACCTCACCTCCTGCCTCAGTTTCCCTTCCCCCTGCCTCCATCCCTCGGTGCCAACCCAGTTTCTCCTCCCGTGCCCCGTTGTCCCCAGGCGCTGTCACCCCCGTGAAGGATCAGGCTGTCTGTGGGTCGTGCTGGAGCTTTGCTACAACGGGAGCCATGGAAGGTGCCCTCTTCCTCAAGGTGGGAGCAGGGCTGTGCCCCACGGAGTGGACGGGGCGCCTGCAGGGTGCCCGTCCCCATCCCTGAGCTGTGTCCCCCTGCAGACCGGCGTGCTGACCCCCCTGTCCCAGCAAGTCCTCATTGACTGCTCCTGGGGCTTTGGGAACTACGCCTGCGACGGGGGCGAGGAGTGGCGGGCGTACGAGTGGATCAAAAAGCACGGGGGCATTGCCAGCACCGAGTCCTACGGCACCTACAAGGGGCAGGTGAGGAGGCCCTTGTCCCTCATGGCCTTCCCAACATCCTGGGGCTTTCGAGCTATGGTGGGACCCCCCTGGATGTGTCGGAGGCACTAACAGGCTCTTGAGGTGAGGATGTCACCTCGTCCCCAAGGCACCAGGCTTCCGTGGTTCACAGTCCTGTCAAAGCCAAGCCCCAGGGCTCATCCAGGCTGTTTTGTCACCGTGTTCCTCAGTTTCTCTTCTTGCAAAACAGGGACAAGGCTTCTCCACCTGTGTGTGGTGCCATGAGTCACTCCATGCCCGGGGTGCCCGGGGACGGAGCAAAGCTGCCTGGGGATGGGGATGTGGCAGCAAGACACAGGCAACAGCCCTCGAGGGCTTTGGGTGCAGAGCCAGCTCCCCACCTTGTGTCTTGAGCAACTGGGAAAACATCCCCAGCACCATGGGCTTGGGAGGAGAGCAGGGTCAGAGCCAGGGGCTCGCACAGCCCAAATTCCTGATCACTGCCTGCATCCGCAGGGTCAGGCGGGGGGGCAGGGTCCCAGCCAGGGATTCTGATGACAGCGTGTGTCCCCTGGGTGTGTAGAATGGCTTGTGCCACTACAACCAGTCCGAGATGCTGGCCAAGATCACGGGCTACGTCAACGTCACCTCGGGCAACGTCACGGCGGTCAAAGCTGCCATCTACAAGCACGGCCCCGTGGCCGTCAGCATCGACGCCTCGCACAAGAGCTTCTCCTTCTACTCCAACGGCGTCTACTACGAGCCCAAGTGCGGTGAGACAAGCAGCACACGGGGCGTGGGAGGGCCTGGGTGCCCAAGGAGATGCCAGAGCTCCTGGGAACCAGCTTTTTGGTCAAAGGGGGGTGGAGGGGATGAGCCCTGAAGTCCCCTGCAGCACCGAGGGTAGCGCTGGGAGCAGGGATGCTGTCCGGACTGGGATGTCCTGTGGACAGGGATTACTGGGCAGGGATCTTCTCCAGGCAGGGATGGTCTCCAGAAAGGAATGGTGTCTGGAAAGGGAGGCTCTCTGGCCACCAGAGTCCAGACAGGGGTGCTGTCCAAGCGAGCCCTCTGCGTGTCACTCCCTGCAGACAACACGCCGGGGTCGCTGGACCACGCCGTGCTGGCCGTGGGCTACGGGGTCCTGCAGGGAGAGACCTACTGGCTCATCAAGAACTCCTGGTCCACATACTGGGGCAACGACGGCTACATCCTCATGGCCATGAAGGACAACAACTGTGGGGTGGCCACGGAGGCCACCTACCCCATCCTGGCCTGAGCCACCTGGCTCTGCAGGGAGAGCCCTGCCGTTCTCAGCACTCAGCCCGGGACCAGGCCCTTCAGTGGGGCCATCGGGAAGCTGGGGACACAGTGGGACAGCCCCATTCAGTGCTGGACACAGGGCAGGACGGGGACTCAGCATTGGGCTTGCCAATAAAGACACTGGAAAAATACTGGATGGCTTTTCTACAGGAGGGATCCAATTGCTGCCCACACAGCTGTGCCCCCTGTGCCCCAGGGACACATCCTGTACAAATCCCTGTCCCCAGCCTGGTTTTCTTGGTCCTGTGGGACCCTGGGGGCCTCCTGGGGAGGGGACAATCCCACCTGGCAGAGCCAGCTGGCTCTCAGAGCCAGTCCCAGACCCCCGGGGCCAGGGGAGCGGCTCTTCCAGCTCTGAGGTGGAGCACAAACAACCCCAGGGATTTCTGCTGAGATGAGAAATTCCCAGCGTGGGGTGCTGGGGAGGGGGAAGGCCTCCACCCCGTGCCCCAGTGCCTGCTGTGGCTGCAGTGGGGACTTTGTCACCAGGGTGTTTGCCAGTGCCACCAGCCAGGCCCTCACTCCCTGGGCTGCTCCCCTTCTGGCTGTGGCTCAGCTGGGTGCTCTTACTTTGGGCTCAAGCCATCCTGGAGAACAGCATCAGTGCACAAGGATACCAAAACAGGCTGGAAGCTCTCCCTGCCCTGGTGCTGGTAGTCTCCCATCTTTTTGTGTGGGGTGCACAGGGGGTTTTGGGGTGCTCCTGAGCTGGTCACACCCACACCCCAGAGCTGTCATGTTCCTTCCATCTTTTTGAGCTTCACCCCAAAACCTCACAGCCATGGAGAAGCCTCGCCACGAGCTGAGGGTCTGGTGCTGTTTTGGGATGCCCAGGCCACAGGCCAGCAGAGTTCTGAAGGGTCACTTTGGGGGTTCTGGTGCCGTTCTGGGGGTGTCCAGCCTGGGGATGGAGCTGGGCTGGCAGCCCAGGGCTGCCAGGGAGAGCTGCTGGCACTGCCAGGCTCTGCCTCCCAACTCAAGAGCGCAGTTAGCAGCAGGCAGCTGGGAAGGGAAATGTCATCCCTGACTTGTAGCTGCATCTGCACAGGCTCTACCTTCCCCCAGATGGGGTTTTGATAGTTGGGAAGTGACATCCCCCATGGCCACAGCCCAGCTCTGTGCAGCAAACCACCGGCAGCACCAAGGGAGCTGCACTTCCCTCCAGGTGACACAACTGCTCTCAGCAGGGGTGGCAGGTCATCATATTCCCTTGTTTTCTTCCACTTGTTCACCTGCTTATTTGTCAATTTGCTGATTGTTGAAGGGGTCTTTAATCATTCCCAGCAGGGAGGCTGGCTGGAATGCATGTCTGGGAGAGGAATGATCACTGCACAGGAATAATGTGGTTTATTCCGTGGGAGTCCAGGTCTCCAGATATTTGATTCTCTTGACTGCAGTCAATAAAACATGCTTTGACTTTCAGGGAACCGTGACTTTCAGGCTCCCTTTGGATAGCTGATGTCCTGAATTTGCTGCTGAACACAGAGGTGGCTTTGAGAGCTGGAAGTTCTGTATCCCCAGGAAGCACTTACTGAAATTCTGCATTCATGGCATTAGGCATATTGCAGCCCTGAGCGTGGGTAGTTCAGATGGCTGGGAACTTAAAAAACTATCTATTTATTATATTTGAAAAAGGGAAAAATAAGAAAGGACATACCTGAAGGGAGGTTTTCTGTTTGCAGAGCCAGCTGTAGGTTCTGGCTCCCAGCCCAGCTGAGCTGTGACCTCCAGACTTCCCTGGACACCCAAAGCTCAGAGTGGCTCCAGGTTTTGCAGAGCACAGCACAGCACAGGCCCTGAGCCCTGCTATTTATTGGAAGCAAAGCTGGCCTGAAGCTCTGCATTTAGGGCTTCCTTTGGGAGAGGCACCTTGCAGGAAACTCCCCAAATTTGACACACTGGTGGCAAAATATTAGCTGAGGTTGGTGTTTAATGGAGCGAGCACTGCTCAGAGTGGGAGCTGAGGGGATTTGGGAGCCACCTTCCACATCCCACCTTGAGAGCCCCATCTCAGCCTGCGGGGTGGTTTGGGAAGCTGCTGAGGTGGGATCCTCCCTGTGTCAGCTTTTCTCTGCTGCCCTGCATCAGCTCAGCCCCGGGCTGGGGATGGAGCTCCGAGCTGGGCTCCAACCCACCCAGGCAGGGCAGGCAGGACCCGGGGAGCGAGGCAAGGCGGGGGTCACCACCACAAACAGCTCCCAGGGAAACAGCTCCTCTGTGAGCATCCAGATCTGTGGGATCAATCTGTCCACACATCCAGAAACCCAGGGTGGGCTGAGTTTGCCGAGCTAAATGATTCTCCGAGGAAGGGCGGCTGGGATTTCATCTGGGTTTGGTTCCTCGCCCTGCCCTCGGCTGTCCTGGATACATTTCCCTCCGGAGGCAGCTGCAGACCTCTGTGCAGCAATGCCAGGTGGCCAGAAAATGTGCTCCAGCCCAAAATCTGGCTGCCTTTCCCTGCTGGATGAATTATCTGTGAAAACCTCTCACGGCCTGCACAAAACAAGGTAATTATTCAGCAGGCGGGGGATAGGCAGAGCCAGAGTATGAAATTATTATCTGTTAGTGATTTACAGAGAGCCACAGACGGTGTCAAGGAACAGCAGCTGAATCAAACTTGCTTTGGCAACCTCGTGGCTCCCCAAGGCGACCCAGAGGGCTGGGGAGAGCTCACACAGCGCTGCTGTGCTGGGGAAGGGGCTCTGGGGGTCCCTGTCTCCCCAGGACTGAGCCAGGTGCTGCACACAGGGGAAGGACGCGCTCTACATAAAACCCCGAGATCCCAGGATGGCCAAAACCACCATCAGGGGAGACTCCTGCTGTCTCACACAGCAACCAGAGCTTTTTGGGGCACAAACAGAAGATGTCCCTGCCCACGGCAGGGCATTGGAGAGAGAGAATCTTCACAATTCCTCCCAGCCCAAAGCACTCCTCAGTGAGAGGAGATCTGCATCCGACAGATCTGAACAGCCTCCTAAACTCCCAAGGCTTGGAGCTGCTTTGCTGCCAGTGTGGCTCTGCTGGAAAATCACCGAGGCAGTGGCTTTCCAAGCGTTTCTTCTCACACTTCCTTCAGTAGCAGCTTTACAAACTCTCCTCCTCAGCCAAATGCTTCTCCCTTGGCACCCGAGACTGCTCTGGCAGGTTTGTTGTTCGCATTCTCCAACCCAACCATTCCTTCTCCTTCAGCCCCAGCTATCTGCCACTCCACACCCCCCACACCCTGATTTTTGGGTTTCCATTGACAGGGTAAGGGGGAATGGAGTCAAACTAGAAGAGGGTAGGGTTAGATTTTATGTTAGGATGGAATTCTTGGCTGTGATGGTGGCAGGCCCTGGCACAGCTGTGGGTGCCCTGGATCCCTGGCAGTGCCCAGGCCAGGCTGGACAGGGCTGGCAGCACCTGGCACAGTGGGAGATGTCCCTGAGGGTGGCACTGGGTGGCCTTTGGGGTCCCTTTCAACCCAAACCATTCCAGGACTCCACGATCCACAGCGCTGCCCTTCTCCAGGTGCGCTGCCAAACCCCAAAATCGGAGCATCCCCAGCGCCCCCCCGAGCACGGCAGCCCCCGAGCAGAGCAGGGGTTTGTTCCCAGGCATCCGCCGAGCTCTGCCTGCCGCTTCCCACCGGCGGACATTTCCCAATCACAGCCCGGCATCCAGCACAATGCAGCTCATCTCGTGAAATTAAGTATTTCTCCTACACACAGCACATTTGCCCGGTGATTAAAACGAGTCCCCGAGGTAGCCAAGCACAGCAGAATTCCGGTTCATTATGCACACCCACGCAGCCAAGCTAAAAACCCAAGACACTCCCCCAGTCCTTCTTGGGAAAGCCTGAGCAGCTCAGATTTCAGCTTCACCACTTGCACCAGCCAGGACCGGGAATACTCTGTCATCTGGTGTAGGAAAAAAGGTAAGGACAGAAGTTTCCCAAAGATTCCAAGGTATCCCTTAAGGTCTGAGAAAGAGGGAAGGGTGTGGGAGCCCAGGAACGTCGAGCAAACAGAGCAGATCACACAACTGTGAGGAGCTGCTGCCTTTTGCTCGTTCCACCTTGGATTTGGAATGAACTTTTAACACCAAAACGCCTTGATTTCCCCCATTTCCCAAAGCCTGTTCTGTGCCACGTTGTACCAAGTCCTGGATGAAAAAGAGGAACAGTTATTGCCTCTGTGCAGTGGATGACCGGTACTTGCTGCAGCAGCCTCAGTCCAGCCTCGCTCCCAAAACGAAACGAGGCCAAACCTGCTCCCCATCCCCAGCTGGAGCTGCAGCCTGCTCCCACCCAGCTGTGAATGCGCCGTGGCTGGGCTGGAGCTGTGCAGGAGCAGCTGCAGCTGCTGCAGGCAGCGACAGGAGGAAGCACGTTGGCACGGAGCTTTTCCTTTCCCCGCAGACACAGCCTCTTCCTCTCGAGCCTCCAGCCACAATATTCCCACTGCCCTGCCCTGCTGGTGTCTCCAGCCCTCCCTGGAGTGGGTGGCTCTGCTCCTCAGCTCCTCTCAAGGCAGGGACACCTCCTCCTCCTCCTCCTCCACACATTCCTCTGCTCTCTTCCTTCCTTCCTGCAGTGCTGACCCTCCTTCACCCACCTCCAGAGAGGCCTTCCCTCCCCAGCCCAGCCCTAACCCAGCTCCCCTCCCCTGCCACAGGACAGCCACAGATCTCCCTTTCACCTCGCTGTGCTTTAGCCCTGCCACCACCCCTTCACCCTGCCCTCAGCCCTCTCCTGGCCCAGCTCAGCTCAGCCCAGCCCAGCTCTGTCTCCTGGCCCAGCTCAGCCCAGCCCAGCCCTGTCTCCTGGCCCAGCTCAGCTCAGTTTCTTTTCCCAGCCTTGGCCCACTTCAGCCCAGCCCAGCCCATTCCCCTGGCCCTGTCTGGCTATGTCCATCCCCGGTTTCCTGGCCCTGTCCAGCCCAGGCTGTTCAGCCCTGGTTTCCCAGCCCAGATTCCCTGGCCCTGTCTGGCCCTGGTTTCCCAGCCCAGTCCAGCCCAGGTTTCCCAGCCCTGTCCGACACAGTCCAGCCCAGGTGGCACAGTCCATCCCAGGTTTCCCATCCCAGGTTTCCTGGCCCAGTCCAGCCCAGGTCACTCAGCCCTGTCCATCCCAGGTTTCCCATCCCAGGTTTCCCAGCCCTGTCCATCCCAGTCCATCCCAGGTTTCCCAGCCCAGGTTTCCCGGCCCTGTCCATCCCAGGTTTCCCATCCCAGGTTTCCCATCCCAGTCCATCCCAGGTTTCCCATCCCAGTCCATCCCAGGATTCCCAGCCCTGTCCATCCCTGTCTGGCCCAGGCCATCCCAGGTTTCCCATCCCAGGTTTCCTAGCCCTGTCTGGCCCAGTCCATCCCACTCCATACCAGGTTTCCCATCCCAGCCCATCCCAGGTTTCCCAGCCCTGTCCATCCCAGGTTTCCCAGCCCAGGTTTCCCGGCCCTGTCCATCCCAGGTTTCCCATCCCAGGTTTCCCATCCCAGTCCATCCCAGGATTCCCAGTCCTGTCCATCCCTGTCTGGCCCAGTCCATCCCAGGTTTCCCAGCCCTGTCTGGCCCTGTCCATCCCAGGTTTCCCTTCCCAGTCCATCCCAGGTTTCCCGGCCCTGTCCATCCCAGGTTTCCCAGCCCAGGTTTCCCATCCCAGGTTTCCCAGCCCAGCCCATCCCAGGTTTCCCAGCCCATCCCAGGTTTCCCAGCCCTGTCCATCCCAGCCCATCCCAGGTTTCCCAGCCCTGTCCACCCCACCCCGTGCTCTCCGGCCATATCCGGCCCGATCCGGCCCCGCCCACGCCCCGCCCCTTTCCCCAGTCCCCGCCCCCTTCTCCACGCCCGATCTCGCGCGACCTCCCCCGCTCGCCGCGTCACGCGAGGCCGAGAGATTGCGTCACCGCGCCCTCCGTGACGTTAACGCTTCCTCGGCGCGCCCCGCCCCGCAGCGGTGAGTGACGGCGCGCTCACCAATGAGAAGCGGCCGAGGCGTGAATGATGCGGCGCACTGCCAATGGGCGGCGGGAGGGGGCGGTGCCGCGCGGGCCGGGCGGGAGGGCGGGCGGGCCGCGCCTGTCAGCGGGGCGGCGGGATGGCGGCGCTGTACGCCTGCACCAAGTGCCACCAGCGCTTCCCCTTCGAGGCGCTCAGCCAGGGCCAGCAGCTCTGCAAGGTCCAGGAGAGGGGCTGGGCGCGGGCTGGGAGGGGGCTGTGCGGGGAGGTCTGTGAGGGAGCCTGTGGGGGCTGATTTGGGAGGAGGCTGGTGGGAGAGAAGTCTGAGGGGGGCTGTGAGGGAAGTGGGGGGTGATCCCTGAGGAGATTTGAGGGGGGTGGTCTGTGAGAGCTTTTGGGGGGTCTGAGGGGTAAAGGGCCTCCTGGAGCATTGTTTGTGAGGGAGAGCAGGCAAAGGAGTGTTTTAAAGGGGTCTGGAGGCTCTTAGAGGAACTGAGGATACGTGGGGGGCTGTTTGTGCGGAGATCCTGGGAGTGTTTGTGAACACTGGGGCCTTGAGGGGTCTGTTTGGGGTCTGTGGGGGAGCGGTGGGAGGGTGTGGGGGAGGGCTGGGGGGTTTTGGGGAAGTTTTGAGGGGCTGGAGCATGGGGCTAGGGGCATGTGTTGAAGGGCTGCTGAGGGGAGCTGTTTGTCAGGGGGACCTGAGGGCACCGAAGGCAGTTTGGAGGTGCTGGGGGTGTTAGTCATGGGGTTGTTGTGGGGAACAGAGGGCAGGTGGGAGCTGTTGCTGAGCAGAGGCCTGGGAGGGTCTGGGATGTCCGTAGGAGATCTGGTGGTACCTCGGGAGGAGTAAGGTGGGTTTGGACAGTCTGAGGAAGAAGAGCAAGATCAGGGTGAAACAGGGAACACGGGGCAGGAGCTGGAGAGGCCTGGGGTCACTGGGGCTGGGACAACGCAGGTGAACGTGGGGAACCTGGGGAGGCTGGGCCGGGAGGAGAGCACGGGCAGGGGTGCAGGAAGCTGAGGCAGAGCGTGTGCCTGCCCTGGGAGCCGGGGCCGCCCCGGCCCTGCGCTGTGGGTGTGGGGCACGGTGAGCCCTGGGCTGTGCCTGCCTCACCTGTGACACACGGCAGTGCCATCACCCTCCTCCTCTCTCAGCATGACTGGACGGGGAGGGGGTGCTTGCAGCTGTGTGGGTGTGCAGGGGTTTGGGGAGCAGCGCTGCGCCTCATGAAACGCCTCTGTTGTTGCAGGAGTGCCGGATTGCTCATCCCATTGTTAAATGCACTTACTGCAGGACGGAATTCCAGCAGGAGAGGTAAATGCTTGCGGAACGGGGGAGGTCCAGGTTTCAGGTAGAGTGATCACACCCGGGGAGCTGTAATGATTCCACACCTTCAGTGACTGTGCCTCAGCCTGTAGATTATTGCTGTGGAGGACTTGGGGGACCTGTGGCCACCTCCAGAGATCTGCTGGCTGAGTTGGGGTGTCTGTAGTGCACTTGGATTTCACCTTTTGCTTGGGGTTTTTTTTTAGTCAGATGCATCTTCCCATGAGTTTTCCTCTTGCCTGATGCCTGGTGTCCAACATTTATTTCCTGCCGTGTGTCCCTTAGCTGGGCTCTTGTCTCTTTGCGTTTTGACAAGTGGTGTAGCTGTCAGAGGGAGGATTGGTAAACACAGAGCTGTGTGTGGCCCTTGTGTGAGGTGTTCCTTCCTGTGTTTGTTGGACAAACACACCTCTGCCCTGTCCTGCCATGACTTCCAGAGTGGAGCCTGCCCTGATGCTGAATCACTCACGCTGCCAGTTAGTCAGTGATCCAATCCTGTGTTTGTATGGACAAAACCAAGTGTCATCTGGGGATGCCTTAATTAAAAGACACCTCCTAGTAATTTTGGCCATTTATCCTCAGCCAGATGGGGACAGGAAAAGCGTTTTGGTATCTGAGTTGCTAGAGAGGCTGAGTCCAGCCTCATCACCAGAGCCAAGGGATCCTAAGCAGGGTCCTGGGATCTGAGCCAGGCACCCTAACCACAGAGGTCTCATTTCTGTTGGAATGTGTTAACAGAGTGATCTGTCCTCCTTCACAGCAAAACCAACACGATATGCAAGAAGTGTGCTCAGAACGTGAAGCTCTATGGCACAGTAAGTGAGGGGGCTCAGCCTCCCCAGCCTCTCTCCTTTCATCTCTCTTGTCTTTATCCTGCTGAAATCTCAGAGCCTTTATGGACTGGCTCAGCTATAAGAGCATGACCAATCAATAATATGGGTCACTCAAGCATAGAGCTTTGACTTTTTCTGTCCTTTTAGCACAAAAAAGAGCTTTGCATCGTCTGAGGCCAGGAAATGATCTGTTTGATACGCAGTAGCAACAGGGCTGTGCTTACACAGACTGAGATTGCTGCAGAAAGCAGTGATAAATCTTTATTTCCTGCTTGTCTGAAATCTGAAATAGAGATTTTGATTGGTTCTATTTTGTTGGTTTTTTCTAAAGATTTCACAGCACTTGATAAATGGTCTGAGTGCCATGGCTAAATTCACTTAGCTGGAGACCAGGGATCCAGATGGAGTTTTGTCTCCTGGATCAGCACTATCCTCTGTGTAGAATAAGGAATAAAAGTTTGAAATGATGGGGAGAATGGGAACGAGCAGTGTACCATTGTAGTTAGAAGGCTGTAGCAGTTGTTCTTGTTTTTTAAAGCCAAAACCCTGCCAGTACTGCAACATCATAGCAGCATTTATTGGAAACAAGTGCCAGCGTTGCACCAACTCAGAGAAGAAGTATGGCCCTCCTCACTCGTGTGAGCAGTGCAAGCAGCAGTGTGCATTTGACCGCAAGGATGACAGGAAGAAGGTCAGTATTTGTGTTAAAGGCTGAAAAGGCAAAAGGGCTGATCACAGTGATCCTCTGCCCATCTTCTTTACATCTTCTGCAGCATTTACTGACAGGACAAGGTGGAAAGGCTTCCCACTGCCAGAGGACAGGGTTAGATGGTATACTGGGAAGAAATTCCTCCCTGTGAGGGTGGTGAGGCCCTGGCACAGGTGCCCAGAGAAGCTGTGGCTGCCCCTGGATCCCTGAAAGTGTCCAGGCTGGATGGGGGTTGGAGCAGCCTGGGACAGTGGGAGGTGTCCCTGCCATGGCAGGGGGTGGGACTGGATGGGCTTTAAGGTCACTTTCTACCCAAATCATTCCAAGATCGATGTCTCTTGGTTTTGAAGTGTTTTCTAGAGTTGAGCTTTGCTCTGGTTTAGAGCTGTTTGATCTTTGAACCCCTGTGTGCCTCTGCCAGATCTTGTAAGAAAGATCTCTTGAACTTGGCCCAAGAGCTGGCAGAGGAGCAGAGACCTCTGAATGAAGTGTGAGGTGCTATGTGAGGAGAGGGAGGGGGAATGATATTTGTTCCATAGCCTGAGAAGCTACAAGTGTCATGCCTCCACCAGGAAACCCCTTCCATGGCTTCTGTACACCCTTTGCTCAAACACCCTGAGAGCTGTGTAGGAGGTGTGTCTTCTTGAGTAAACTGTAAACATCTGTTGTTTGGGATGCTGCAGCCACAGTCAGTGCCCTGCTGAGCCTCCTGGAGCAGACACCCTTGCTCCTTTGGTTTCCAGTGACTGCCCATCCATTCAGAGCATTCTTTTTGAGTCCCTGCTTGTTCATGTGCAACCCTAAGCTTGAAAGTGCTTCTTGTCTTTTCTCTTGCTTTGTGGGCAGGAAAAAACACCAAAACTTCTTTCTGTCTCCCCTTCCAGGTGGATGGAAAGCTGCTGTGCTGGTTGTGCACACTGTCCTATAAACGAGTCCTGCAGAAGACCAAAGAGCAGTGCAAACACCTGAGCAGTTCTTCCCGAGGCAGCCTGCAGGAGAAGGAGCAGTTCAGTCGGCTCAGCAGTGGCAGCCACTATAACAGGTGACCTTGGGGAGGGGTTTGGGCAGGGTCTGAGTTCAGGACAGTCTGGCTAAGTCACTCTTTGCTGATTTGCAAACCTCACTGTGCTGCTACAGCCTTGTGCTCCTTAGTGATCCAACTTACTGAACTTGTACACTGTGAAAGCCAAGTTGCATTTGTAAAATTTAATTATTAAAATGCAGATTTTAAGCAGGAGTTCTTCACCTACATGCTGCTCTGACTCATTGTTTTCTGTTTATTTTTAGTCTCCAGCTACTCTTCAAGGAATGATTTTTTTATCGTTTTAGCACTGGGAAATACTGTTTTAATAGGATCAAAGTGGGTGGGAATATTTATCTGCCTCTCTGTCTTAGACTGAAAGTCATTCAGGTTCTGACATACAATTTCCTCCTTCTTCTAGCCAGAAAACCTTATCCACGTCTTCCATTCAGAATGAAATCCCAAAGAAGAAAGCCAAGTTTGATGCCATATCTGCCAATGGTGACAGGTGAGCCTGTAACATGGGGAAATCGTGGGTGGGGGGTTTGTTTGCTGAGTTTATGTAAGACAGAGTTGTGTGTGAATAACAGGAAGCTCTTATGCTAGAGCAGGGGCCTTGGGCTTTGAGACCTCGAGGGGCTGCCCTAGAGCCTGGCAGGCCAGTGCTACCTGGAATCTAGACATAGACTTGAAGAGGAAAAGAATACTGAGCACCTGAACCTGCTTGGATGGAGCAGGATCGAGGTGATGTTGGCTGAACGCCCCAACAGCCAGACCAACTTTATCATGTCTCAGGGAGAGAGGGGCTGCTGAGGTCTGCAGGTTTTGTGCTTTGAGGTCTGTCAGACTGATCTGCAGGGAGACCCTCAGAGGACAGAAGATCCAGACCCACTTCCCATGTCCCCTCCTGCTTTTGGGGCACAGACAAGCAATCAAACAGCTTTGCTTGAAGGGTTGTGGACTCCCCATCCTGGAGGTGTTTCAGGCCAGGTTGGATGGGTCATGGAGCAGCTTGGTCTAGTGGAAGGTGTCCCTTCCCATGGCAAGGGGATGGAACAAGATGCTCTTTGAGATTTGTTGCAGCCCAAGCCATTCCATGGTTCTAGGAAAGCATCGACCCCATTCTGTTGTCACACTTGGTGCTGCATCACGTTGATGTGATTCTGTGCAGCAGAATGGGAGTCACTAGCAGAAGCAGGAGATTGAGATGGATTTGTGTTTTTATGGTCTTGTGCATGCATATTTTCATTCCTGCCTTTCCTCTCTGATTCTCAGCGTTCCTTCCTCTCCCGAGATGCTTTGCCCCCTTATCCAGAGGGCCCCGTCCACGTTGGCGCAGTGGGCTGCTTCCCAACAGACTCTCGGGGCCCACCATTGTCCTGTTGCTCAAGGCATTGACATCCTGAAGTGAGATCACCTATTGTTTTCTCCCCTCCCTCCCTGGGAACTGCCTCATACACGGGAACTCTCCCTCTCAACGGATCTCTTTCTAAACAGCAGGGATTTGGGAGCATGGACCAGAGCATAGTTAGTGCCAAAGGGTTTGTTAAGACACTGGTAATTAATTCATCACTACCTGCCTTCAGTGCCTCTGAGATCACAGATCTCTCCTGTAGATACTGTTGACACCTTGTCACTGTAAAATGCTCCCATGGGAAATGCCTGTCCCTGGAAGTGTTCCTGGCCAGGTTGGGTGGGGCTTAGGACAGCCTCATCTAGTGGAAGGTGACACTGCCCATGGCAGGGGGCAGAGCGAGATGAGCTTTAAGGTCCCTTTGACCCAAACCACTCTGGGGTTCTATGGTTCTGTGAAATAGAACTTTAATAATTTTATAGGGCAGTGACATCCACAGAGTGGTCTGAAAGACCTTTTATCATCTGAACAGCTTTTTCAGTTAAAAGCTGGAAAAATTTCAGGACTAATTGTGACTTAGGAGCCGTGGCTGAGTGTGGAGGGGTTAGAATTCCATTGCCTTCAGTGCTGGTGGAGCCAGAGGAGGGAATGGAAACAGGGTCCTGGTAGAACTGGTGCAGCTTTCCCTCCAGAGAGGCCACTGCTCTGGGCTGTAGGACTTCACCAGCTGTTTTTATCTCCTCATTAAATCCTGGGCTCATTGTAACAGCCCTGCTGGCTTGAAAATACCCAAAAAGCAAAATGACCTGTGCTCTGGGTTTGTCAGCTGTTTGTCTGGAAAACAGGAGCATGTATTGAAGGAATCAACAGCGTTCCTTTTGCTCTCATGTCAGATATTGTCAGTCTGGCTCCTGCCAAGGCTGTAGGCCTTGCCACAGGCTTTTTTTGATGAGTTCCAGTAACAAACCAAATGTAAATTTAGCAACTAAAGAGCTTCAGCGACATGCAGCAGAAAAGGCAAGCTGCAGCTGCCTTAAATAGACAAATGGCTGCATGTCTTGAGAGGAATAATAAGGGGGTTCCTTAAGTGTGGGTTTGGAGTTGCTGAGGGTTCTTTTATGAGGGTGAACCCCCAAATCCTTCCCCTTTATACAACTACCAGATTGTCCCTCCCAGAGTCACGTTGGTGTCTGGCACAGCCTGAGCATGGGGTTAAGGTCTGCTGCAGCACAAGGGTGTTTGCAACAGCAGCAGCAGCAGCAGAGTCTGGAGCAAACTGACACAACCAGCACCTCCTCCCTGCTGAGATCAGCCCCAACATCCTGTACCCTGGCTCCAGCCAGACCTCTGGTGTAGCCCTCAAATGGGCAACATTTGGGCATATTTGAGCTCAGTTGATTTTGGCAACACCTTCAGTCAGGGTCCAGCTTCTCTGAAATTACTGCTTCTTCTTGGATATGGTAGAAATTCCTTTACTGTGTCGTACTGAAGTCCCTCTGTTTACATATTTCATGGTGGTTGTTGCTCACAATGGCTATGATATGTGGACAGGGTGATTTCCAGCAGTCATTTAAAGGGTGGTGTTGAATGGTTTGTTCTGGGTGAGCTCTGGGAGGAGCAAACAGCTCTGTTGCTGCTGCACTGGGAGTAGTTTTCTCTCCCAGTGACTTGCAGCATTTCTTGGCAGCAGACCTGGCCTTACTAATCCTTCTGTGCTGCCAGTCCCCATGGTTTTGTGCTGCCCAGCACACCAGCTTCACCTCCAGCCCCTGCAGCTGGTCCTAACTGGGGCAGTCTTGGTGTGCCCATCATCTTGTGCCAGTGCTGGCAAAGGGTTTTTATGCAGCAGACTCTGCAGATGAGCACACTGCAGTCCCTTCTCCTGTCACTGCAGACAAGGTGCTAAACTGTGCTTGTAACACCAGGCAGTGACAGCACTGCTGGCAGGGGGAGGGCAGCGGTGCCTCAGGGTGCTCAGCAGTGAAGTTCATTTGTAAAAATGTAAAAATTTGCATAGGAAAGTCCTGGCATAGTTTAAAGCTCTGTGACTTGGGCTGAACTGCACTGAGTGGAGGTTGTTTTTTCATAGAATCCCCGAATGGCTTGGGTTGGAAGGGACCTTAAAGCTCATCTCATTGTGCCCCTTTCCATGGGCAGGGACATCTTCCACTATCCCAGATTGCTACAAGTTCCCTCCAACCTGGCCTTGGACACTTGCAGGGATCCAGGGGCAGCTACAGCTGCTCTGGGTAAACTCTGCCAGGGCTTCACCACCCTCACAGGGAAGAATTCCTTCCCAAGGAATCTCTCCCTCCCTTCTGGCAGCGGGAAGCCATTCCCCCTTGTCCTGCCACTCCAGGTCCTTGTCCCCAGTCCCTCTCCAGCTCTCCTGGAGCCCCTTTAGGCTCTGGAATGGGCTCTAAGGTTTCCCCAGAGCCTTCTCCAGGCTGAACACCTTCAGCTCTCCCAGCCTGGCTTCAGAGCAGGGGGTTCCAGCTCTTGGAACATCTCCGTGGCCTCCTCTGGGCTTGCTCCAGCAGCTCCAAATCCTTTTGATGTTGGGGGCCCAGAGCTGGAGCAGCTCTGCAGGTGGTTTTTGTCTAAGGTGAAATGTGGATGCTGGTTTAGTGCCTGGTCTCTGCCTCTTCATTCCAGCCTGACTTGAATAGCAAAATCTTTAAGCTTGGCATTTGCCTCGCCTAATTTCTGCCATTTAACAGGTGTGGAGTTTAAGGCAGTCGATTTGGTTTCTGTTCCAATCAATAGAGAGAGGCAGGTGCCTTGGGAACAGCTCCATTTTTGTCCTCTGTCTCTGCTGGAAACAACAGGAGCTCAATCATTTCCCTTTAATTAGCAGTGTGCCTTTCAGGCTGTTCAGACATGGGGAGCTCATGTCCCCCTGACCTATCCCAACGGGCTGCATCTTGAGTTTATTTGTAGAGGAAATTTTTTTTTCTTTCTTGGTTGTTTTAATTTTGATCTGTTTGTTAAAGGAAAGGACTGACTTGTGTTTGGCAGTTTTCCTTCAAATTTTGGAGTCTCAGGGTGCTTCTGTAACATGGGGTTTGCTATCTTGTCTGTCTTTAAAAAAATACAAAGGAAAAGGAAAAAAAAAAACTGCTTCTTTATTTAGCACCTTAACACATTTGAAGGGGCATTTTGCAGCAACTGGACAGGAAAATCCCAGTTTGGTATTTTATACCCCTCCAGGAGGAGGTCTCAAGCCGGCTGCTCCCCCCTGGAGGGTGCAGAAGCCCCAGGGATGGGTGCTCTGTGCAAAGCTGTGGCCCTCCTGTCCCCTCCTTGTCCCCACTGGGTGGCAGGGCTGGCTCTCACCTTCCTGGCTTCGCAGTGTGCTGTTGCCAGGCAGGGAATTTTTCATGCTGGAGATGCTCAGGGAAATGTGGACATCCCCTGGCACTCTTTATCACCCCAGGGCATGGCAGGAGGGAAGCGTGCCTGGGCAAAGGAGTGGTGTGTCAAGGGATTGTTTTCAGACAGAGGGAATTAGTGAGGAAGGCTTCCTTTTCTCTGTGCTGTTGGTTATGCTGTTGGTTACTGTTGCTTTTGTTTTTTTAAATTTATTTCTCTCCTCCCCAGCATATCTGCACTGAGTGGGAAATTAAAGCTGTTGTTAATAATGTGCTTGCACACAGAAAGGTGCTGGAGCACACACCATCATCTTGCACAGCCTCCACTTGGGAAAACTATTGGGGAAGTTTTAAAGTGGAGTTGTTCTGTGCTAGTGTGTGGGTATGAACCTCTCTGGCTAGCACAGAGCTGGAACCAGTGTGCCCAGAGAGCTGCCACATCTTAGTGTGGACTCTGCTGTCAGCATGTTTTAGCCGTGCAGGGCTCCTGTGCTCCAGGCAGACCCTCAGTTCTGAGTTTTCCTCTGCAAGGTTTTCTCTCCCAGTGCCTCAGGGCCATCCTCTGACTCTCAGCTGCCTCTGCTTGGTTTCCCTCTGTAGATCCCCAGCACAGTGGGGGAGCCAGCCTTTTCCCCTGCCACATCCTTACTAATGAGTCCTGTCAAAGAAGGCTGTAGGGCTTTTAATTAGAAAATGGATCATTTCCAGGTGCTGGAGGAGACCCCGTGTGAAGTGAGCAGCAAGTACTCTCTGCCTTAGGGTACAGGTTGGGGACTGGAAGCTCAGAGATAGAAACATCCTTGAGAGAGGCAGAATTTTGGGTTGAGATATGCTTTCCCCACTGCTGCAGCTCCCAGCTTTAAAGCTGGGTGTTGACCTACTCTGAAGGCTTTTAAAAAAAAGTCAGGCTTTGGGTGACCCTGACAATTTATTTTTATTTATCTGATAACAGCCAGGCTTGAAGTAATCTTCTGGGTGAAGCTTTGTTGTCTTATTACTGTTCAATTTGTATGCAGCAGTTTCAGGAGTGTGTGGCTGGGAGTGTGCTGCCACTTAGCACAAGGAGATAAAAATCGTCTTTAGGGATGGAACAGAAGGCAGGGAAGAATCAGGTGGGCTCCCTGGGCCTTGTGGCTGCAGCTTGTTGTGTCTTATGGTCTGGAAGTTCCTGTGCACAGGGCTGCACGTGCCTGCCTGGGTCACGGGTGACTCCTGGGGAGCTTTGTGACTTACCAGTGCAGCAGTGACTCATGCACAGATAGCTCTGCTGGTGGTGGCTCAGATGTAGAGTACCTGGTGGTGTACAGGTGATGTGCTCAGCTGTTTCTCTGTCTTCCTGGAGAGTTTTTCCTACTCTGGAATAATGAAGCTTCTCCCTAAATTGCTTTGTCATGGCAGAACCATATTACGAGGTCTAGCATGTTTTTTACCCCTTTTCCTTGCTCAGGACAATTTAGCTGTTTCCTTTTGCTCTGTTTGTTGAACTTGGAGGTTATTTGTTTCTCTTTCATGTCCCCTCCTTGCCAGAATGTTTGTTTACATTCAGTGGGAAGTTTTGCAGTGCATCCAAATACTGCTTGTGAGCAAACAGATTTCCAAAGGGATGCATAAGGTTTGATTATCTCTCTGATTGCTGTCTTCAGCTCTCTGGTTTGAAAAAGGATCATGAATGATCATGAAATGATTCCCATTCTCTGAGTGCACCCGTGGGAGTTTCCCTGCCTAGTGAAGAGCAGGGTTTTGCTGAGGGCTCTCCCTGTTCTTTGCTGCAGTTTTTCTCCAGACCTCGCCCTGGACTCCCCTGGCACCGACCACTTTGTCATCATTGCCCAGCTGAAGGAGGAAGTGGCTACTTTAAAAAAGATGCTTCACCAGAAGGATCAGATGATTTTGGAGAAGGAGAAGAAGGTACAGTCCTTGGCTTGCTTCCCCCCAGCAGGCTGACATGTTCTCACAGATCACACTCAGACACAGCCTGGCTTTTTCTCTTGGAGTTAACATATCTGGCTGTTTCCAGGCTGCCTCCTTTCCAAAGAGGCCCTCTGGACCCACCCAGGGGATCTCATTTCATAAAGGGTCATTTCCTGACCACTTTCTTGGAGACCTCTGTGTGTGGGCAAGGCTGGGAATAAACATGCTGCTGCTTGGAGAAATGCAGTGCTGGCCCTTGCTGTTGCTCTGTGGTCTCAGTGACACGGTTCTGGTCTCACTGCAGCCCCTCAGCACTGCCAGCATGCCTGTGACCTCAGCCAGTCTCACACACTTCTGTAGAGACACTTTCCACACAGGGGTGTCTGTGGTGAGGGCAGTTGTTGCCTCTCCCAGCTCACTTGCTCTTCCTGCTTTCTGCACAGATCACGGAGCTGAAAGCTGACCTGCAGTACCAGGAATCACAGATGAGGGCAAAGATGAACCAAATGGAGAAGACACACAAGGAAGTCATGGAGCAGTTACAGGTGACAGCATTGTCTGTGTTGTACCCAGGAGGGACTGAGGACACTCCTGATCAGAACAGCCTCTGAGCTACTGCACACAGAGCTCTGCTAATGTTTCTCAGTCTCTGTGCTGCCAGGCTAGCCCCTCCTCAGCTCTGCATTGCATCCCAACCACCATTTACACCTACTTTGCTGCTCTCTACTCAGGCTCACACTTACTGTGTTGTAAAGTGCTATGTTGTGTCCCTTATGGACTAGACAGGAGCCATCAAACTCATTTTCCTTATTGCCAAAATCAGGTTTGAACCTGTTTCTCCAGTCTGCAGAACCTTTGTCAGCTTCCTGAGCCTCTAAATCACCTCCCTGTCATTTGTGTGAGCAGTAACCAGAGAGAACAAAGGAACAATTGGCAGTTCTTTTCACCCTGTATCTCTAGTCCAAATAAAGAAGTCCCTGAGCTGATGGAAGCAGGGAGAGCAGGATTCTTGTCATGGCTGTGGAAACACAGCAGGCTATCAGCATGAATAGCTTGAGCCACCTAAGGGATTCGGTCAAAGGGGAAGAAATCAGACCCAGGAATGAACTTTGCACCCTTTAATTACTTTGGGTATATAAAGATCTAAAGCCCCAGCAATGAGAGGTGGGAGGGGATGAGACAAAAGGCCTCTGTTGGCCCTGAGGAAACAGCCCCTCCTCCATCCACACCCACTCTGGGGAAGTATCCCAGTGGAAGGCAGGTTCCAGAGTGCTGGTGCCTGTGAGAATCCCTCCTGGGGCATGTGGAATGTTGGGATGTGGTGTGGAGAGGGCTGGGTGTGCTGTTTCTGCAGGTAAAGGAGCATCAGACCCAAGAGCAGGTGTGCCCCAGCCACCTCCCTCTCTTGGGGCTTTCCACGTCTGTGCTCAGCTCAGGCTGGGACTGCCCTGAACCCTCTGGTGTCCAGATGGTTTATTTCTGCTGGTACTGCTTGAGTCTTTGGAAACCTTTTTCAGTGGCTGTAAAATCAAAGTTCAGATCCTCTCAGTGTGTTGTAGGTGCTTTGAACTGTTCATATGATTCATTTTTGAACAGTCTTGTGGGTTCTATAATTTTGTCTTTTCCTGTGGGGCTGGGATGGTAGAGAGATCTAGGAGATCAGAGGTGAGCTCAGCATCTGCCCCCCTTTCCAGCTGTGTGCAGGATGTCAGCAGCTTCTGCACAGGGATCCCAGGAGCTAATGATGATCCGTGCCACTAAATACCCGTTTTCCCCATTTCCAGGCCAAGAACAGAGAGCTCCTGAAGCAAGCAGCTGCCCTGTCAAAAGGCAAGAAGCCTGAGAAGTCAGGAGCAATAACCTCCCCTTAAAGCCAAGCCCCCAGCCTGGGAGCTTTCCCCAGCACTAGCTGAGGAGTGTGGGAGACCTGCTGGATGGCTGGAAGCCCAGAGCTCTGCGTTGTGGACTCCATGGGAATCCCTGGTGCGTGTTACCTTCTGACAGCATGCTTGAGTGTGCCCAGTGTCAGTCCATGGGGAGAGGTCCCAGCCTTCCTAAATCCCCCCTGAAGTACTGTTTTTTGGAAGAAATCTTTTCCTAACCAGTTGCTACCACTGCCAGCCCTTTCCATGAGCAAACAGGAACCTGCTGCATTGTGGCTCCTTGCTGGTTCCCAGCCTGCTGCTGTGAGGGAATTGCCATGGCCAGTTGTTCTGCAGATAAAGTGGGAGCTGCGTGTGGTGGGAGCTGGATTTTTTTTTCCCCTTGAACTGTTCCTTCTTCAAAAGAGAGCTGAGAACTCACCAGCCCAACAGGTGTTCCTGGAGGTTGTGCCACTGCTGACAACAGCTGATCCAGCTTTTTGAAGATGCTTCCAAAATGGGGGCCATGTATTTATCTTGGAAGATTTTTGTGTTTTGTTTTGTTTTTTTTTCTTATTTTCTCTGTCAACTTGGCAACCAAACTGCCTGGTTTTGTGTTTCCTTGTTTTTATGATCAGAGCTTTTGGGTTGGGAGCCAAAGTGGAATGATACAGCCCCCAACCCACCCAGAATTCCCCCCAGCCCCCCAGTGCCCTAGTTTTGTGGTGACCTCTGGGATTTTGATGATTTCTGCAGCTTGGTGCGATCAAGTGTCTCTTACTCCATTTCTTCACACAGAGAGTTCAAGGCTCGGATATTCCCTCTCTTTCCCCTTTCCCTGCCCCTTCCAGATGCAGGGGCCAGGTTGGCTCCAGGAAAGCACTTACTCAGGCAGCAACCCGAGCCAGGGAGTGTTTTTTGGGGCACTCCAGGGATTTTTCTCACTGCTGATTCCAGCAGGATCAAAGGGCTATGAGAGTTCCCTGTACCAGGGATGTGCTGCCCCAAAACAGCACGGCTGCCATGACCCTTCCAGCCAGACCAGCTGGGCTGGGCCCCCCAGGCACCTCTTTTGGGGTGATGGTGGTGGATAAAAAGCACTTGGAGAGGGAGCAGCACACAGCTCCAGGCTGGCAGGAGCTCCTCGACATCCCGACCGCCAGTCAGGGAGTGGAGAAACATCTCAGGGCTTGGAGACCCCCGAGCAGGGGCTGGAGGTAGGTGAGAGAACTCATGCTTTTGCTGCAGGGCGGCTGCTCCGTCAGGGCTTTGATGAAGCTTTTAACTAGAGCTTGTGGTTACTTTTTTCATCCTTTTGTTTCTTATTTGTTACTAAAGTTGATTTTACTCAAAGGCACTTTTTGGGATGATGTTGGCTTCTGGCATGGAAGGAGCACATTTCATCAGACACTGCCATGTGTTTGTTTTTGGTTTTTCTAAGAGACTTTTGATGTGAAAACAAGCAAAATGAGAAATTGTTACACTTTGCCTGAGTGTGGCAAAAACTCACCCAGTTTTATACTTTTAGAAAATGAACTGCATTGGTGGGAGTTTTTTTAACTGTGGGCTTTGCTTTTTTCCCTCCCTCAACATACAGAAATAAAAAGAGGGAGAAAGGCCCTGTAAATACTGTTCAGTAGAGTTTTTAATCGTGATAAATTGCTCCTGCCCTTGCATAGCTGATTTGTAGCACCAACATCGTTTCTTTGTATGTTTGTAATGATGAGATTTTCAAGGGGCGCTTTGATTTGTACAAATGACACCTGTAAAAGTGGTTTAAAAAAATCCTCATCTGTGACTGATACTTTGTTTGCTTTGAAAAGGGAAAAAAAAACCAAAACAACCAGAGTACCTCTCCCTGCCTGGAGGGGATTTATCCTGCTCTAGGGTTGGGAGTTTGGGGAATGAGACAATATTTTCCCATTGTTTGCTTTGCTCCTACTTTTTTTTCTATCTTTAAATCCTCCCATCAAGCCTGTTGCTAGGATCCTGGTTACTTGGTTACATCCAGCTTCCCAGGACTCATCTGAGATGTATTCCTGATCTTGGCACAGACAGAGGGACCTGCTCCTTTGCTCCTTTGGCATGGAGGTTTTCCCTTTTCCCATGAGATTTCCATGAAGAAAATTCGGCTGCCCCTCATCCTTTTCCAAGGAAATCTCCAGAGGTCCAGGAGTCTAAAGGGTTTTTAGCTTTGACTGTTTTCCTTATTCATGTCCAGTCTCCTGGAGCTCATGGAGATAGCAGCTCCCTCCTGCTGCTACTCCCAGAGCAGTGAGGATCACTGACCAGTGCAAGCCACAGTTTCTAATGTTTATTTTGTTGAAGCCACATAAATCTGCCTGCAGTGCAGGAATCCTGATGGAGTGCTGGCAGCTCCTGTGGATCACCTTGGGAATCACCTTCCCTGCACGTCTCTGAACAGTGCAGCTGCAGAGGAAATGAGAGGAAACAGCCTCAAGGTATGCCAGGGAAGATTTAGATTGGATATTAGGGAAAATTTTTCCATGGAAAGAGCTGTCCAGGCCTGGCACAGACTGCCCAGTGAAGCTGGGGAGTCCCCATCCCTGGAGGAATTTGATAGCCATGGGGATGTAACATTTGGGGACAAGAGTTAGATGGTGGCCCCCAGTGCTGGGGGAACAGTTGGACAGTTGGATGCACTTAAAGATCCAACATCCAACAGTTGGATGCACTTAAAGATCTTTTCCAACCTGAATGATTCCATGATTCTAATTCCCTTCTCCACCCCACAAATGCTCTGGGTTTCCTTCTTGCAGCCCAGAAAGCCCTAATGCCAGGTTTTCCCACTGTAGTGGTGGGGTGACCAGCCACAGTGACAATCCAGCTCCTGCTCTTTGAGCAGAGCATATAAGGAAAGGAGATAAACAATGTTCCTCTGGTATCCCGTGCTGCCCCAAACCCAGAGCTCTGTGCCCACCCAGTGCTTGGCCCCTCCTGCCCCTGCTCGAAGTGCAGGAGTTGTCTGTGGGACAAATGTCCTCCTGGCACAGCCCTTCGTGTCTTCTGATGGGATATTTTTGTATTAAATATTTGGCAGCATCTCCAGCCCATCTCTCCAGCTGGATCCTTGCCTGATGCACACCCACAGCCCTGTCCCTCCAATATCCAGAGCTTTTTGGGGAGCAGAAAGGGGAGAACAGAGGCAGCCTCCCCCTCTCTGCCACCCCCACTTTGCTTGCTCTGTGTTGCCTTTACTGATGCAAAGGAGGAGATGTGTTTTCCCCTCCAGGCTGATGCCTTCAGCCAGAGCAAACACAGAGCTCGTGGCCTCAGGTGGAACTGTAGAGTCATCATGGAATGGTTTGGATCAGAAGAGACCTTAAAGCTCATCTTGTTCCACCCCTGCCAGGGGCAGGGACACCTCCCACGGGATCAGGTTGCTCCAAGCCCTGTCCAGCCTGGCCTTGGGCACTTGAGCCGCTTTGGGCAGCCCCAGGGCTGGCTGGTGACCAGCAGCACCTCTGCTTGTGCCCTGTGTCCAGCAGCTCTGTGGGGCGTGACCGTGCCAAGGGAGCAGGTGACAGAGCTGGACTGGGGTGACAGGGGATAAACAGCACCTCTGACCCCTGGTCAGCGAGGGGCCACGTTCCTTGGATCAGATGAAATGGCCCCCAAATTGTGCCTCTGAAATGACACAAACGGAAATACAGAAGTGGAAACCTTGAGGTGGCCAGAGGCACCCAGACCCCCCAGCCTCAGCACAGAGCTGTTTGCAAAACACCCTGCAAATAGTCCCAGGAAGGGACAAGGGCCAGGAGCAGTGACCAGGGAGGTTTCCTGGTGCAGAGGGTGCTGTAGCCCTGGCTGTGGCTGCTGCTGCAGTGCTGCTGGCAGGAGCTCAGCCGAGCCAGAGGAGGCTGTTGCCAGGAGAGTCCTGAGCTGTTTGTGCAGTGACTCCTGTTTGCTGCACTTGGCTGTGCTGGGCTGCCAGGCAGCGCCAGATTGCTACCAGTGCTGTGTCTGGGACAGCCCATGGTTCTGAGCGTGGGGTTTTATCCCTTCTTTTTACTTTTTTTTTTTTCCCCTGTTCCTGTGGAAAAACACCAAACCCAGTAAAAGAGTCAGAGAATCCCAGACCATTTTGGTTGAAGGGATCTTAAAGCTCATCTCATTCTGCCCACCTCGGATGGGCAAGGACATCTTCCACCATCCCAGGCTGCTCCAAGCCCTTGGACACTTGCAGGGATCCAGGGGCAGCCACAGCTGCTCTGGGCACCCTGTCCCAAGGCCTCCCCATCCTGACAGCAAAGAATTCCTTCCCAATATTCATCTATCCCTCCCTTCTGGCAGCGGGAAGCCATTCCCCCTTGTCCCCAGTCCCTCTCCAGCTCTCCTGGAGCCCCTTTAGGCTCTGGAATGGGCTCTAAGGTTTCCCCAGAGCCTTCTCCAGGCTGAACACCTTCAGCTCTCCCGTCTTCAGCCCAGAGGGTCTCCAGCCCTCTTTGGAGCACTTTGGCCTGCTCTGGGCTCGCTCCAACAGCTCCATATCCTTCTGATGTTGGTGCCCGGAGCTGGGGCCACCCGAGCGGCGCGGGGGCCGTTTCCCCCGGGGCGGTTTTACCCCGGGTGGTTTCCCCCGGGGTGGTTTCTCTTTGCCCCGGGATGGTTTCTCTTTGCCCCGGGATGGTTTCTCTTTGCCCCGGAATGGTTTCTCTTTGCCCCGGACTCGTTTCCACCGCTCCAGTGCGGGCTCGGCAAAGTGCGGCCGGCTCTGGGTAGACCTGATGTCTGCGTGTCGGCCACGCCCCCTATTGTCATTGGTCTGATTGTTGCCGGGTGGTCACGCCCGCAAGCTCCCATTGGTCGAGGGGGGCCGGGGGCGCGTCCCCGTCCCGTGCTATGTAAGCGTGGCGGGCGCGGGGTCCCGGGGGCGCTGCGGGGCGCGGGGCTGGCCGGGGCTGGCCGGGGGTGACCGGGGGTGACCGGGACCGGCCGGGGGTGACCGGGAGCGGCCGGGGCTGTCCGGGGCCGTCCCCACCGCCCAGCCCCAGCGTGATGCTGGTCGCCGGCTCGCCGTGCAGCCCCGCGGGGCCGGAGGAGCACCGGGGCTGCGGGGCCCGCCGGGGCGGCCAGGTAAGGGCTCCCGGGCTGTATCGCCCCGTCCCCGGCGCACACCCCTTTGCGGCTCAGGAAGGTGCCAGGCTGCAGCAGGCTGCCGGGGTTTGAACGATGCCGTGGTGTCCCCTCTGCGGGTCTGTGGAAGCAGCTCGCCCAGCTCGCCCAGTGACTCCCTGGGTGCTGTGGGGGTTTCCAGCCCTGAGCAGTGTGGGGCAGAAGGGACCCGAGCCCCTGCAGGGGCAGCCCTGCGAGCAAGGGCTCATTTCTGCATTAGCTGTGAATCTGGGGGGAAATCATGATGTTTAGTGGCATTTTGTGCCCCGGGGGGGTTAGTGGCCCCCGGAGGAGCCGTAAGCACAGTGCCGTCCTGCGGGATCCCCTGCTTTCCCCGGGCGCGGTGAGCCCCGGCTCGGCGCGGTGTCACAGCTGCCTGTCCCGGTGTGTCACACGCGTCCGGCAGCGCGGCAACATCGCAGCCCGGTTTCGTCAGGCGCTGCCAGCCTGACGCAGAGGGCGTGGGGGACACGGCCCCGGCCCGTGCCGGTGTCTGCCTGAGTCACCCCTTCCGCTGACGCCGACGGGGATCTTCCGCGGCTCCGCTGACTCCCAGCTGTGCCTTCCTTCCTAGGAAAGAGGAATCGAGGCTACCCGGGCGCTGGCGAGGGGCCCCAGCACCTTCATTCCCCTGGGAGAGGTAAAGCGATGAGAACTGGCTTGGGTGGGGTCTCCTTCACCCTTCCCAGCTGCGGGTGGGGTGACAGGAAGGATTCCCAACCCCCGATTCCCAGTGCCTGGTGGGGGTGGGATGCTGAGGATGGGGTGGAGAGGGGTCACCCACCCCAAGCAGATCCTTGTGGCATTGTGGGGGGGTCGTTCTGGAGATGAGGGGAACAGCTGTATTTCACCCTGGTGTTTGCTTGCCCTGCCTCTGCCTCCGTTTCCCCACTCAGACAGACACATCTGTGTTTCCCCTGCCCTGCCCGACCCCAGCATTCTGCCCTGACATCCCCAGGGCACCTGAGCCCTATCTCAGCGCCCACACTCACTCCTCCAGATGTTGCTCCTCGGGCAGAGATAGCGCCGTGGTTTCGTCACTGCGCTGGGGGCTGACCCCCATCTCCTCCCCCGCACTCCAGAGCCCAAACAAACAACCCAACCCGCAGGCTGAGCAGGACAGCCTGTGTGGGCTCTGTCATGGAGACCCCCAAGCCCCCTCTGCCCCCCGGGGCTGGCAGTGGGGACACGGGCAGCGGGGGCCCCCGGCGGTGCCCGTTCCGGAGGCGGGGCGCTTCCAGTGGGGTGAGGATCCAGCCTTGGCGCTCTTGGGTTCCTGGGTCCTGCTTGTTGGGGGGGGTCTCCACTTAGGTTAGAAGAGGTTGGGAAGAGTGGGGGCCTACAGCTCACAGCCCTTCGTTCCCTCCTCTCCTTCTGCAGGTCCCTCAGGAAGGCGGGGAGAGCAGCCTGCACCAGCTCCTCGAGGCCTTTGTCTCGGCAGGCAGGGTGGACCACGTCGCCATGGTCATGGGGCTGCACCCCCAGTACCTCAGCAGCTTCTGGAAGACCCAGTACCTCCTGCTGCGCATGGACGGGCCCCTGCCCTACCACAAGCGCCACTACATCGCCATCATGGTGAGCAGCGGGGCCCTGGGGTGTGGGGACACGGGGCTCTGTGTGGGGTCCCAGCACTGCTGCTCAGGAGGCACTTGGGTCCCCACAGATGGACCCCTCTCTGGTCTGACATCCCAAACCCCTTTGGGGCTGGTGCCCACCCAGCGTACCCCAACACCCTCCCTCCAGGGCCCCTGGGGACTGGCACTGGTAGTGAGGGGGGAAATCCCCCTGTCTGGAACTCGTATCCCCAGGGAAAATCCTCCAGGAGTGACATGGGACGAGTGGGCTCCGTGCCTTGGGCAGGCTCCCTGCCTTGGCTTCTCTGTGGGCTTGTAGCAGGGTGGGGACCCCAGGCAGTGCTGGAGGCTGACTGCTGGCTCTCCCCGCAGGCAGCAGCCCGGCACCGGTGCTCCTACCTGGTGGGGTTGCACATGGGGGAGTTCCTGCAGGTGGGGGGCAACCCTGCATGGCTGCGGGGGCTGCACTGCGCCCCCCAAAAACTCCGGAACCTCAATGAGATCAACAAGCTGCTGGCGCACCGGCCCTGGCTCATCACCAAGGAGCACATCGAGGTGAGAGCTGATGCTGCCAGCACGGATCCCCCCAAAGCACACTGACCCCAGGGGCCACCTCCTGCGTGCACAGCCCCCAAGGTTTAACCCTTTCAGGGCTGAGGGAGTCAGTGGGATGGGAAGGGGTGACTTTCCCCTGCTGGGTCTATGGGTGCACTCCTGTATCCCTGCCGTTGGCTTGCCCCAGCCCTGGGCTGTGGTGGGCGTGCAGCTGAGGGCTGGGGGGTCTCTCCAACCCCTGCTGTGTGTGGCAGGCTCTGCTGAGGCCGGGGCAGGACAGCTGGTCACTGGCGGAGCTGGTGCAGGCGCTGGTGCTCCTCACCCACTACCACTCGCTCGCATCCTTTGTCTTCGGCTGCGGCATCAAACCCGAGGAGGACCAGGACGTGGGGAGCAGCTGCTGGACCCCCTCACCCCACAGCCACAGCAGCCCTGCCTCTGGGGACAGCATGGGGGGCTCTGGGGTAAGAGGGGCTTTGCCTTGCATGGTGTGAATGTGCCCTGGGATGCTTTATGGGGAATCACAAATTGGCTTGGATTGGAAGGGACCTTAAAGCCTGTCTTGTGGGCAGGGACACCTTCCACTAGACCAGGCTGCTCCAGCCCCTATCCAGCCTGGTCCTTAACACTTTTAGGGATGGGGCAGCCACAGTTTCTCTGGGCAAACTCTGCCAGGGCCTCCCCACTGTCCCAGGGAAGGATTCCTTTCCAATATCCCATCTATCCCTGCCTTCTGGCAGTGGGAAGCCATTCCCCCTTGTCCTGTCCCTCCAGGCTCTTGTCCCAAGTCCCTCTCCAGCTCTCCTGGAGCCCCTTTAGGCACAGGAAGGGGCTCTAAGGTCTCCCTGAAGCCTTCTCTTCTCCAGGCTTGTCTCCAGTGTAGAGTGGCCCATCTCTCGGAGGGCCTTTATTGGGAACAGCTGATGCTTTAGAGCCATGCAGTACTTCCCACATCCTCCACAGGACTTCCCCCTCCTCCCTTTGGGGCCTGGGGAAGGGTTATGGGGACTGCTGGAATCTGGGCAGGACCAACCCAAAGGGAGATGCTCAGGGGTTCCCCCAAGTGCCAGGGCTGACCCTGCCCTGTGCTTCCCCAGGACACAGATGCCGTGCAGGAGGTGGAGGTGCTGATGGAGAGGATGAAGCTGCTGCAGGAAAACCAGCTGGAGGAGGAAGGAGTCACACAGGAGGAGATGGCGACGCGCTTCGAGCTGGAGAAGACAGAAAGTTTGCTGGTCCCTTCCTCAGGTGAGGAGGTACAGGGGGCCACTGGCTGGGGCAGGGGAGCCCGAGGAGGGGGAAAGGAACCAGAATCTGCCTGAGGGAGAGCGGGATCAGCTCCCCAGGGCAGCTGACTCCATCTGGGCTCACGGCCACTGCATTGGTCCCTTGTAGATGCTTTGGATCCCTCCCTGCAGTCCAACATCCGCTGCTTCCTGGAGGACCCTGAATTCGGATACAAGGACTTCACGCGGAGGGGGGAGCAGGCCCCCCCCACTTTCCGTGCACAGGTGGGTGCTCAGGTCTGGGGGTGCCTCCTGTTTATGTCAGGGTTGTTCCCAGGATTGTGGACAGTGGGTGCAGGGCTGGAGCTGAGCAACCAGGTGCTGAGAACTGGGGGGAGGTGTCAACTTAGGGGGGACCCCACCTTGTGTCCCTGGCTTTGGGGGGTGTTGTGGTTTAAGACCAGCTGGAGATGAAACCTGACACAGCTGTTCACTCAGCCCCCACTTTCTTCCCCCAACCCAGGGAGGAAAATCAAAATAAAACTTGTATGTTGAAATACAAACAGTTTAATAATTGAAAATAAAGTAAAATACAATGATGATGGTAAATAATGATAATAATGACAATGAAAAGGGAAAAAACAAATGATGCACAATGCAATTGCTTAGCACCTGCTGGCTGATGCCTGACCCCCCTTCCCAAACCCAGACTGGCCCCTTCTGGGTAACTCCCTCCAGTTTATACACTGGGCATGACGTTCTCTGCTGTGGAATATCCCTGTGGTCAGTTCAGGTCACCTGTCCTGGCTATGCTCCCTCCCACTGGCAGAGCCTGAAACAAGAGGAATAAAGTCCTTGACTGAGGATAAACCCAACTTAGCAAAAAAACCAAACCTTCAGTGTGTTACCAACACCCTTCTCATTCCAAATCCAAAACACAGCACTGGAACAGCTACTGAGAAGAAATTAACTCTACCCTTCCTGAAACCAGGACAGAGAGACCCCACTTTTCCCCACCAAACCCCTACCCCAGCATCCTCTCTCCACCAGGATTACACCTGGGAGGACCACGGCTACTCGCTGATCAACCGCCTGTACCCAGACGTGGGGCAGCTCCTGGATGAGAAGTTCCAGGTGGTTTACAACCTGACCTACAACACCATTGCCATGCACTGTGGCGTGGACACCTCTGTGCTGCGCCGAGCCATCTGGAACTACGTGCACTGCGTCTTCGGCATCCGGTGTGTCCCCAGCACCTGGCTGGGCTTCCTCCTCCGCCTCGGGACGAGCCCAGGAGCAGCTCCAGTGGCTCGGTCTTGCTTAGAGTGTTGCTGCTGCTGCTGCTTCCCTATGGCAAAGTGATGCTGTTCAGAACAGCCCTGGGAAAGGAGAATTTAGTAAAAAGTTACAATAAGGGTGGTGAGGCTCTGGCAGAGTTTGCTCAAAGAGTTGGTGGAATCCTGATCCCTGGAGGTGTCCAAGGCCAGGTTGGATGGGGCTTGGAGCAGCCTGGGACAGTAAAAGGTGTTGCTGCCATGGCAGGGGTGGGACTGGATGGGCTTTAAGGTCCCCTCTCACCCAAACCATTCTGGGATTCTGTGAATGCACAAGGCTTGTGTCTGGAGTAACACACCCTCCTCTCTGCAGCTATGACGACTACGACTACGGGGAGGTGAACCAGCTCCTGGAGCGCAACCTAAAGGTCTACATCAAGACAGTGGCTTGCTACCCGGAGAGGACCACCAGGCAGATCTACGCGCAGTTCTGGAGGCACTTCAAGCACTCGGAGAAGGTGCTGCCCGTCCCTTCCCCTGGCAGGGAGCTCGGGGTGCTGAGCCCGTGCCCTGACCCCGCTCTCCCCTAGGTGCACATCAACCTGCTGCTGCTGGAGGCGCGCATGCAGGCGGCTCTGCTCTACGCCCTCAGGGCTGTCACCCGCTACATGACCTGAGCTGCTCTGCTCCTGCCCTGCCCTGGCTCTGCAGGAGAGGCCGGGGCGCTGCTGGAGCCCTGGAAGTTCATCTGGAGTATTGTCTCCCTGCTTCACGGGCTTAGAGCTGTGGAAGTGAAGTGGGAGCTTCCCTGCGCTTTCTCCCAGGAGGGGCAAGCCCCCAGGAAGGTGTCGGTGCTGGGAAGACCCCCAAGTGCTGCCCTGGGCTCGACAGAGCTGCGAGTGCTCTCCTGCTCCGTGCTGGCCCCAGTGAAGCCAGACAGGGATGTGTGTGGCTGCAGTGCTGGTGTCACACCCCTGTGACGTGTCCTGGCACCGAAGAGGACTGTCCCCCTGCCAGAGATGGCCAGAGGGTATCACAGGCTTCATCCCTGCATTTTGGGTCCTGCTGTGCTGGGAGACAGCTGCTGGTGGGGGTGCTGCCCAGGCACCCCCTCCCCACCTTTCTGCCTCATCCCCTGCAGTCTGGGATGTGAAGTGCCTTTAACCTAAGTGCCAGGGCAGGAGCAGGGAAAGCATAGGAATACTTGAGTGTGTTTTACACGTTTTTGCATTGTTTTCCAGCCACTGGTGCATCTCCACTGCCTCAGCTTCAGGGGACATGAGGCTCCCTCAGCCCCTCTGCTGCTGTGCGGGTGGCAGGGTGGGATGGGCTGGCCATGGCTTTATCCAGACATGCCAGAGCATTCCCAGCAGCACATGGAGGTGCCTGTTGGGGAGCAGGATCCAGCACCGTTGCCACTCTTGGTTTGGCTGTTGAGTGATCACTCCAGTTAAGTTATTTCTAATTTTTTTAAATATATATATTAACTCCTGACTAGGCATGGAAATGCCTCTGTAACTTTGCTATTAATCTTGTTTGAAAAAATAAAATAATTATTTTTAAATTCTTTTTCCTTTTTCACTTTCCCCTTGGTCTGCCCAGGGGCTATTCCTGTATGGCAGAAGTAGAGTGCAAGACTCTTGCTGCTCTGGGAGTACTTGGGAGCATCCCTGAGTTGTCCAAGGGAGGATGTGGGAGGTCTGAGTACTCCCCACTTGCCTGAGGGGGGTGGATTTGACTTCAGTAAACTCTCCTTGGTGGTGGCTGATTCCAGTCTTTCCTGGCTGTTATATCTTCCTGGGAATATTTAGGCAGGATCCTCATCCCACCGTGTGTCCAGGCGGCTGCTCTGCTGCACTGCTGGCGCAGAGCTGAGCTGCAGTGCTGCTGGGGGCAGAGCAGGGCACCCGTGCTGTGGAGCCAGCAGTTATCAGGGCGTGGGCAGAGCCCCTGGAAGGCGCTGATAGAGCCCTGGCGAGGGGCCGGCTCTGCACGGCCGGCGAGGGGCCGGCTCTGCGCGGCCGGCGGGGGACCGGCTCTGCGCGGCCGGCGAGGGGCCGGCTCTGCACGGCCGGCGCTTCGCGGTGTGCCGGAGGAGCCAGGGCCTGGCTCTGAGCCCCTCTGGGCCCCCGCGGCACGGGGGAGCCGCCGTGCTGCCCCTGGGCCGGCTTGCAGAGAGTGTGCCGGGGACTCACAGGGCAGAGCCCCTGTTTTGGGGGACAGAGGTTTGAGGGCAGCTTTTTTGGGAAGCTGAGGCAGGAGGACGGGGCTCCCTGGGCTTTGCCGGCTGTGGCAGAGCTCCCGGTGGAGAGCACAGCGGAGCCCCGCACAGAGCTCTTCTGTCAGGGCGCCACCCTGGAGCACCGGCGGCCTGCGGGCTGAGCCGGCCCTGGGGGCTGCTCACTTGGTCACAATTACAAACCAATAAATTCCTCATCCAGTGCACAACTAAAGCCTGCAATTTGTGTACCTATCTATAATTTATCCACAGCTCTCACTGTTCTCTTGCAGGGCAGGTGTGTTAATAATCTCCCTACCTGAAGCTGACAGTTATGATCCCAATAGATGCTATTTTTTTTCCACTACAATTGCCCTCAATTTAAAAACATAATGTGTTAGTGATGTTTAGTACACATCAAAGGAACAGGAAATAACAGTAGTGGTAATAATAATAATAATAATAATAATAATAATAATAATAATCTGTGCTGAAGGAACATTTTACGAGTAACGGAGCCCGAAGTGCTTTGCAAAGTCGGCATTGCTGGGGCTGAGCTGCCCCCGCTGTGAGGGGTTCACGTGGGGCTGGAGATGAAACACCTTTGCCCTGAGTGTGGGCAGCTCATTCCCGCCAGATGCAAGCAGACTGCTGGATCCGCTGCGTGGGCTGAAATGGATAATGGAAATAGAGCCCAAGCCCAGGCGGGACGGGCTGGGCTGGGCTGGGCTGGGTTCGGGACTCGCCGGTCTCCCCGGGGCGGCAGCGCCGCTCGCCGGAGCCAGCGGGAGCCACGGAGCGAATGCCGGGACCAACTCCGCCGTGAACCCAGCGATGCCCAAATGGTTTGGGTCGGAAGGGACCCCGGAGCCCCTCTCCTTCCACCCCTGCTCCGCAGGGCCGCCTTGCCCCCGACAGCCTGCCGTGAGGGGGCTTCCGGGGGCGTGTCCTCCCGCCGGGGCGTGCCCGTCCGCCGCACTACATCTCCCGGCATGCCCCGCGCGCGGCTTCCGGCGGCGCGTCCCGGCGGCGGCGGCGGCGGCAGGTAAGGGCGGGCGGGGGCCGGGAGCGCCGGCACCGTGAGGGAACCGCGCTCGGCGGGGGAAGGACGGGCCCGGAGAGCCCCGGCCCGGCGCAGCCCAGCCCTCTGCCCGCGGGCGGTCACGGAGGGGGAGCGGGGCGCCCCGGCGATGCCGCGGAAGGGCCGGGGCTGTGCGGGCACCGGGCCGGGGGCTCCCGGCGGAGCGGCCCCACAGGACCGGGCTCGCGGGGCCAGCAGCCGCCGCTGGCTCGGAAGGCGAGCAGCGGCGTTGGCGTCCTGTGCGCTCTGTGCTGCGGGGGGCGGCTGGAAGCCGAGCGGCTCGGGCTGGCGCTCCGGTAAAACCCGGGCTCCGGTCCCTGCCGCCCTCCCGTGCCTCGCCGCGAGTGCTCGCAGCTTCCCAAAGTTCCCTCTGAGGCAGCCCCGCTGGTATTTCTTTGTTTGATCTCTCCTGCCCTAATGTTGACTGAAATTTGAAACGTCCCCGTTGTGCTTTCTGGCTTAATTGTTCTTTCCCTGTGTTTGCACGCAGATGAATTATTTACCTCTGTGCCTTGCATTGGGCTGTGTTTGTCCAGGTGGAGGTAGGCGAGGGCTTGGTGCCCTTCTCTGGCACTGAAATACTGCAGAGAGGGTGAAATGATGGGAGAAGGTGCTCAGCTGAGGCTGAAATAAACTATAAAGCTCTTTAAGCTTTAGGATGTTTAAATGCTGCTTCCACAAGCCTCGAAAGAGAACTGGAGTCAAGGAATCCCAGAATGACTTGAGTTGGAAGCGACCTTAAAGCTGTTCTTGTTCCACCCCTGCCATGCTACTATAAAGCTGTTTAAGCTTTAGGATGTTTAAATGCTGCTTCCACAAGCCTCGAAAGAGAACTGGAGTCAAGGAATCCCAGAATGACTTGAGTTGGAAGCGACCTTAAAGCTGCTCTTGTTCCACCCCTGCCATGCAGGGACACCTTCCACTGTCCCTGGCTGCTCCAAGCCCTGTCCAGCCTGGCACTGGACAGGGATCCAGGGGCAGCCACAGCTCCTCTGGGCACCCTGTGCCAGGGCCTGCCCACCCTGCCAGGGAACAATTCCTGCCCAATACTCATCTAAATCTCCTTGTTGAGTGTAAAACTGTTCCACTTGTCCTATCACTTTCTGCCTGTATAAAAAGTCACTCTCCTTCTTTCTATCATCTTCCTTCAAGTGCTGGAAGGGTGTAGTGAGATTTCCCAGGAGCCTTCTCCTTGTAATTGCTTCTTTGTTGCTTGAAGAAAGCTGGAATTGTGCAGGAGTGAGTGCTAAAGTTGATGTTTCGTGATGTTCCTGCTCTTCGAAAGCCAGTCTGGAGCAGGATCAGGGAAGGGGATGGATGAAGTTCCCACAGCCCACTCTGGGTGGGTAAAGGGTGTTCAGCTGAGTCTGGTGTGCTGCAGAAGATGCAAGGGAGTGAAACTGGATTCCTCTCCCTGCTGCGATTTCCTCAGGAGTGCCAGGTGCTCCTCAAGCAGACCTTTTAAATGAATCCAAACTGCTTTTAAGAGTAGACAACACCTAAAACCATCAGCTTATGTGGTTTAAATTCCTTTTTGTGAAGGAAGGGGCAAAAAATAGAGCCAAAACGAGGCCGATTGTGAGGGACGGGGCTGTCACAGCTACGCCGACTGAGGCTGAGTATCTGCACAGGGATGGCCACAAAAACCCTTGCTCATTAGAGTAGGTTCAATCCTGATCCTCCCAGCAGTGCTGGAATGGCTGTGCTCTCTGTCCCAAGCGGAGGTGTCAGTGTGTCCTTTCACAGGTGATACTCTGTTAGCTGATAATGTATCAGAGTGTTTTTGCAAGGAGCGTTTTCTTCCTGGATTCCCAAGGACTGAGCTGTGTCTGAGGCACAGAGCATTCCCAGCCCCTGGGAGATGGGGTGGGAGTCCTGCTGGGAGCATGGGCAGTGCCACAAACAAGGGGAATGTGATTGCATCCTTGTTTTGGTGCTGCTGGGTCAGTGATTTTACAGCCTTCTGCTTCATTCAGCCACTGGTTAATTTCCTTTCCAGTTCAATTTGATAACAGTTTTGAGAGCCAAATCATTTGTATTTAAACAAATGGCTTCTATTTTGATCAAGTTTCATTGTGTTTGGCATGTGTTGGAGCATTCTATGTATTAAAATTTGCTGAGACTGTGGTTCCTGCAGGTTTATTAGCTGGTGATGAATATTTAGTTACAAGCTGTACAAAACCTGTGTCTGGGTGTTGGGGGGCTTAAAACAGAACTGGGTTTTTCTGGCTGGTCTCATGAGTGAAGGAAGCTGCAAATATCCTTGGGATAATTTGGATTACCTCAAAACATGTAATTTTTCAGGCAAACCCATAACTTTGGACTGCTGGGAAGCTGGTAGGGCTGTTGGAGGCAAAGACATCATCTTGCTCCTGCATCCATTAAGGTGGGAGTGGAGATGCTCCAGGTCATTCGTAATCAGTTCCCTAATTCTCTTTAGCAGTGATTTTCTGCATACAAATGCCATGTGGGTTTATTTTTCTGAGTGTGAGAATGCTTTTATTTTTAGCTAGCAAGTTTGGAGCCTGTGGAAAACTAATGGATGTGCAACTGTGGCAGCGTTGGGCCTGGGCTTTGTGTCGAGGGGAAAAAAGCCCTTTCAGAGATCTATTTTTATCAGTTAATTAGTCGCTGTTGCTGACGTGTCAGCGCTGTGGTGATAACTATTCCCAGTTCTTCCCTGCACAGTGGGGTCATGGTTAGGCAAGGAATGCAGCAGCCAGCATGGCTGCTCATCCCCAGGGCTGGGGTTTAACTCCTTCCAAACTGTGCCCTGAATCCAAGGGCACATCCCGTGGGAGGAGCTGCCATGCAGACATGCAGAAGTTTGTCAGGCTTCAGCAGAGGGGCTTTCCCACTGCTGACTGCCCTTGATTTGTCCTCTGCCCAGAGGATTTCCTGTGTCTCGGTAGGAGCTGAGGTGTGGAGGTTGTTGTGATTTGCCAGTGGCTGGGTGACAGGCCTGCAACCAGAGGTAAAAGGCTGCAGCTCTCCCAATTCTTGCTCTTATCTGCTGATTTTGAATGACTCAGGACGATCTGTCCGGGTTGGAAGGTGACCAGGCAGAGCATCTAGTGATTCCACGTTGGTATTTTGCTTCTTGTCGGTGAGGAGTTGCTGTTTTCCTGATTTCAAAATGACGAAGCCCTTAACGTGAAAACCCTTGTGTTGTTCATTCTATTGCTTGTGGTGTCACTTGTTTTTGATCCTCAGCTGTGCTGAGATAGGGAGGTGAGAGGCAGCTTTGGTCTCAGCTATGCCCTGG